ATATTGACAAACCTCCTGTTATTTTACTATTATTCTGCTGTTATGTTGCTGTTATGCTGCTATTATTTGGCAGATATAGGGTAGAATAATGGCAGTTTTTTTTCTGTTATTTACCTATTATTTACCCTTTATTCATTTATTCGACCTGTGTATATGCCAAAAAATTTTGTTGTAGTTCATTATATTCTTCTGGTAACTTTTGAGTAGTTGTAGTATATTGACAGTTTACTAATTTATAATATAATATAAATCTATCTATCCACTTTTACGTAAATCGATATTTAAGACTATTAGGATACAAAGCATGATATTCTTGTCTTCTAGCCAAATTATGAGCTTTCACACTAATCATAAATCTGGTCACAGTTTTAAGTTGTTCTTGTAACTCACAAAACCACTCAAAAAGTTCTTCTTCCAATTTTGAATATTTAGGCCTTGCACCAATATTAAGTCATCGAACATATGATGCTATACTTATTAAATCTTTTTTTTTTTCTACTTCTGAACTTGCTTAGGCTTAATTTCAAATTTATCTACTGTTGCCCAACTACTATGCCTACTTTCTTAATAAAATATGACTATCAACTTTTCACGAGCATTCTATTGTCGATGTTTTTTTTGTGTATAAGTTGTTCATTTTGTACTAAAATTTTCTTTTGGTATTTGAATTGTCTGATTTAAAATTTTTCATAATGGAGAGTTTTTTTTTAAAAACAAATATTTGTAAAACAGATCTAGGAGTACAAAATCTGCTTCAAGGTCACACAAATTATTCAAAGAAACATCTAGGTTTTCACTTTCTATGCTTCTATTTATTTTAATTTAGACTAAGAATTTAGGATAGTATACTATTTTAGTAAATTTGAATCTTTATTGTTTAATATAGAAGCAATCAGGAATCCTATAACCAATTCTGACTACAATTCTTTTTTAATATCACTATAAAAAAAAACTCTTCACTCTAAAACAATAACCTTAAAGTAATAAGTATTAAAATTCTAACCTAATAAAACTTTCAAATAACACTTAATTTTATAAATATTACCTTCTGAAACATTTTATTATACTTATTAGATAATCTTAAACCTAAAATTTAATTTCAATAAATTATTTAAGTTTGCAAGTGCTTGTTCATAACCTTTTATTATGCAATAAGTTTGATCTACTAGTACCAATAATAGTTTAAGAAAAAAGTTTATTATATATTGCTTTTCTTATAGCTTACAACGTCTCTTATATCTAATATAAAATTCATATATTTTAGTTTCTAATTTTATTTATTTATTTATTTATTTTTATTTTTTTTTTTTAAATTAATTATTTGTCTTTTTTTAAATTTTTTTTTTTTTTAATTTTTTAATTTTTTAATTTTAATTTTTATTTATTTATTTTATATATTTATTTATTTATTTAATAGAGAATCTGTTTTGTTAAAAATTTACAGTCCTTTACTTTCATAAATAGGCACTAATCCATCTAATTCCAACTTAACAAATGGCACTCTTTAGTAATTCTACAATAAATAGTATGAATAAGTCTTAGTGTTTAAATTACTTATTTTTAGTTTACTAATACTAGTACTAACAATGCTTTTTTATTAGTTTAATAAATATATACATAACATATTTCTGTCATAGTGTTTGTCGTAAAAGAATAATCACTTAAATTTTTAGGAATAGAATTAATTTATTATTTTTGATCTCTTATTTATAATTTTACTATTAATGCTGCATATATACATATATATGTAATACATTATTAGTTATGCATATAATTATGCAAAAAGGCACATATTACTGTTTTCTTACTGACCAGTATAATAGTTATTCATGAAGTTTAATTTTAAAAGTAATTTACACAAGACTACATACAATACCTCTCATGTATACAATATCCCTTGTATACAATATCCTTCCACATAATGTATCCCTCTAAAATAGTATCTAGTTCCTAACACAAGACCCTCAGGTACTAATCAATTTAAAAAATAATGTTTTTGAATAAGACTTTGGGTATTTTATGCAGTACTTTACAGTAATAATCAATTAAAAACTAATTCATGTATAGGTAAAAGAAACCTAGAAGCAATAGTTGATGTTTTTAAAGCACTACTTGTTGCTAATGATGAATTAGTTTTTCAATTATTTAATGAGAGATTTTAATATATAAGATTGTATCAAGACTCAAAATTTGACCATACTAATCTTGAATTACATGATATGATAAAATTTAAAGTAACATTATTTCATCAATTAGACATGAATAAAACTTTTGAAATTCTACAATACTTGAAAGAAACAAAACTGATTACTCTAGTGCTATCAAATTTCTTGAAATTAATATTCTACATAGTTGAAATATGTGATAAACCTATAGCTGAACAACTGAATTCTGGGATAGAAGATATACTTCTAGAGAGAGATGTTTATAATGTTGAATTTAGAGAATATATTAATCTAATTTTAAAATATGAAAAGGAAATTATATGTAGAAAATGCATGTTTCAGTTACATGTTTTTGAATTCTGTTTGAACTTTAACAAAATGAAAGTTTGTTTGCTACCTGATGAAACTTCTGCTAAAACATTTAATTAAGGAAACTATGCCCTTGTGTTCTTAATCGATTACTTTGATCATCTCTATAAATTTAAAATGAAAAAAGGTAATGCAAATACTATGTTGCTTGAAAATACTTTTAATATCACTGCTGGAAATTGTGGTGTTCCATTATTTTTAACTTATATTAGAATCAAATCTATATACAAACCTGACTTTGATTTATGTAATCCTATAGGAAGTATATTTGATTTGATAAAAAAATATTGTAAAAAGAAACCAGATCCTATAAAACAAAATGATGAAGTACTTGATAATGCATAATATATAATTATTATTTTTGTATTTAAATTAAAACTATATAAATAAACAAGTTATTTGTTATTTTTCTTTAAAAAATAAAATTTTTTTTTTTTAAATATTAAGATAAGTACTTGTGACCCAGGATTTTATTGATAGTACATTTAGCTAATGGTTGCATTACAACCATAGAGGGCAACTATAGAAAGAGTGTACAACTAACCACTTATACAACTTTAGTCATTGTCTAATTTAAGTAGTTCGCCTGAAGGTTCTACACTAGTTACCATACCTGAAACCTACTTGTAAGTTCCTTATTTAACCATTCTGTTTCCATATCCATCCACCTATCTACACCTACCAAGATGCCCTGGTCGATACTAATACAAATATGCTATAGTCACTAAGTCTTTAAGGCAGTTCACTTACATGAGGAATCTTTGACCTTGTACTAAACCTTTTAGAATCTTCTGTATCTTATTCTT